AGCCAAATTACATGTGAGCTTTGCCAGTTTGTTGATTGGAGTTTCTATTTTCATGTCTTGTTTTGATTTGCTAATACATGTTATGTGAGGATGATTATTATTTTTTTTTTTGTTTAAATGCACAACTAACTTTCAGTAGAGATTCTAATATAGAACTGGTTGTAAATCCCCGTATTAGTAACTCTTTCTTTACGTAAAATGTGATGCAACTGGTTGCACCTCACAAAGATGTATCCTTTTTGTGTGTGAGATAGGACTATAGTCCAGCCCTATTTTGGATACATTAGGGTATAAACTCTTCGAGATAAATGGTTGGTCTGTATTTTAGCAGAAAATCTTAAGCGTAACTGTTTGTATATAATTAGTAATAAAGAAAATATTCTTGGGCCTTCAACTTATTAGTTGTACGTGCAAATAGCGCCCAAAGAAATAATTTAACAATTTATCATTGACTATTTTTGGCGTGAACGTACCATCTTCGTTAATTTTCTTTAAAGAAAAAACATTACATGTTGCACACAAGGGACCTTTTTTGTGACAACTTGAGCTAAGAAATGGAAGCTCGTCGGCACAATAGAATTGGTTGACTTTATTTGACTGTTGTGCTCACGATCCTTGAAACTTCTGAGATTGAACCTGTTTTTGCCGGTTTGGTTTGGCTCGAAAAATTGAACCAAACCGGACTATTTGGTAGGGTCTGCCAGCTCACCGTTTAATTTGCGCCCTAATGTACAAAACCTCACACGCTGGCGTTTGTTTGGTAGTTGTCACCTTTTGCTTCTCGATGGCTTTAGGGTTTCCTTTGACCTGGTAATCCTCTGAAAACAGTAGAAAGAATAAGAATATGAGTGGCTACTGGCTAAAGCAAAAAGGAAGAAGGGCAAACTTTACAGACTCTCTATTCAGATATCCCCTATGGAGTGAGTGCGAAATCTTTGTTTTATGCCATGTTTTCTTCTTCCTCTCTCTCTCAACTGGTCCATTTTTGCAATGTACATGTAACACGATCGGATAACATTATTATTCAACTCAAATTGTAATAAGTAGTCATGTTTACTTATAAGGAATGGGAATTAAAATCATTTCTATTCTTCAGTTCCCTAATTTTACTAAAATAGAGGAATGAAAACCAATTTAGTTCTAAACTTTCCCTTATGTTTACTAACATGAAGGTACCGTTTGGTAAGCATACGGGACGGAACAGGACGGGACGGGATGGAACGGAACATGACGGAACAGATGATGTAAATATTGAAAAAGATAAAGAGAAATTTTGTCATAAAATGTTATAAATTTGTGTTCCACGGATGTGGAATAGGTCGTTCCAGGAGGAAGAGGTGGAACGAAAAATTAGCCAAATTTTGTCCCATGGGACAACCCGTTCCACAATTTTTAGGCGCACCAAACGTGGGACGGAACGGCTCATCCCGTTCTGTCCCGTCCTGTCCCACGTACCAAACGGTACTGAAGGGAATCAAAATCAGATCAACTAGACTTTTCCTATTTCTAAGTTCTCTCGTTCCTTTCTTATTCCATTTCTGTTAAATAAACATGTCATAGATTTGTCTTTTAATAGAGTGTACTAAGAATCAAGACATATATGTGAACTACATCATTCACATTTACTATAAAACGTGAAATAATAAACCACGTTGCTTGTATTCTTGGTATTTAGAAAAATTCCTCCTTTGAAGTAAGTATAATCTTATCCTTTAGAGAAATGAGAAATTAGAATATGAGAATTTGAATGGTGTAAGAAGTGGCCAAGATGGGTTGAGTTAGTCGACCACATCCACAATAATTGGTACATGATTGAGATGTTGAGCTTAACCATACGAACAAAATTCCTCTACTATGGATGATGCCTCATGGACCACTGCGTGCACGTGTGTTTGGGTCTACCATCACTCACACACCTAACTTTACTATTTTGTTTTTCACCCACAAAATTTGCCACCCCGTTATTTAGTTGCATATTCATCACCCCTCTCATGTATTAGGGTTGCTCACATCATCATATGATAAAGGACATACTTTTTGTCTCCTTTTACACATTTATTTGTTTATTTGTATTGGTTGAGATTGATTTAATCTAAAGCAGTTTGCGTAAATTATTTTTTTTTTGTAAAAAAAAAAAAAAAAAAAACCTTCTTACAAAGAAGTCCTTGTTGTATACAATTAATCAACTATCATACACACCGTGTGTATTTGATCATAAATAGTCGCATGACTCATAAAGTGCATTGTCGATGAGTCATGTGAATCTGTTCATTGTATGACATGTCATGAGAGACTGGTTGTATACAACCAATAAAATAACACACAATGTGCGATTTTAAACAATCATGTATTTATTTCTTTCGTTATGTAACTTTACAACATGTGTTTGTCTCATCATTTGACACGTGACAAGAGAAAAAAAACCGTTGTTTATACAATTAGTGATAAAGAAATTAAGACCATTCTAATTAGCTTGTCACACGTTCATGTGGGAAAACCTTACTCCGAAAACAATTCTTATACACAAACATCTTATATAATCATCATTTTGATAATAAAAAATTGGATGCAAATATGCAACTAGTTATATGCAATTGAACTTTTATCTCTTATCACGTGATCGAGCAACGACTGCAAAAAGTTTTCTCCACCCTTCACGTGGTGATTCACGTGATCTTTTGTTGTGTAAGGTGACTGCACACAATAATTTTTCTTCCCCAGGACCTCCTCCGATGTCATGCATCAAATGTTTCAAAACTGATTGATGGGTGAACCATATGAATCCAATCTTGGTTTTCATGGTTAATCTTATGACAAAATATCATGATATGGGCCCTTCTCTCTCCGACGTTGAATCATCAATCATTTGCATTTAATTATTTTAGGCATTTTACACAGATGTATATATTACATACAAAGACCACGGACCACGGTTGTGTTCTGTCTCCCTACGCAACTTGTGTTAGACAATGGGATCGTTTTACAGAGATTAGGATATGAAGATATCTCAGTATCAACGGGAAGTAGACAACTTTGACTTAGATGATCAAGATATGACCCCGTGAGGTTTAAGATTTGAGAATCACAATCGTCGAGAAGATAGTTTGAAATCCAAGCTTCACGTTGCTCAATAGAAAAAGAGAGGTGTTCTTAGTTTTAATTTTTTTTATTTTTTAATACAAAGGAATATATTGCACAAGGAGAAAGTCGTAACAAATTTACTTATTTGAAAAGAAAAAATTGTGGACCAAGAAAGTGAGGAATATGAAAGAAAATAAGAGAGAATGAGAATTGGATTCCTCTAATCAATTTAAGTCTTGAATTTTCCAGTATAGATTACAAATTATAATGTGAGAGTTATTGCCACATCATTTTTAACTTCGTACATGAGAAGTAAAAAATCAGAATAAGTTTCTAAATTTTTAACTCTAAAGTATATAACATGCAAATTATGTGACTTAATTTAACGGAAAATTGTATAGAATAACTTCAAATCTAATACTAGGGATGTAATTGTTAGATTTTAATTAGTTTAAGAACTGATTTTCAAAAATAAAAAAAAAATGTTCAAGAACCTAAATAATTCAGAGACTAAATCTGCACATTGATCTAATTTTAATACCCAAATATTAGTAAACACATTAAGTCATCCCTTCAGTCAAAGACTAGTGGCATGCGAACGCAAATAGCTTTCGTTCATGCATGGTGGAGCAGTGATGCTTTAGGATTCCAATGTATTGGATCCAAGGATATAATGAACTGAATGAACCATTGTCATCTCATTCTTGAGTGAGCCTTATACTAACATGTTTATACCAAGATTCTAGAGTTGTACATTACAAATAAGTGAGGTTGCATTAGGTTACGTTTTGCCTAGTCCTCAAGTTCATTCCAAAGAACGTCTAAGAAAACTTGAGGGAGGGTAAAAAGAGAAGCGTCCGTGGAGAATATCTGATGTGCCCCTCAAACACTTTTGCGTTTAATTGAAGCTTGCTAGTGGAGTCAGACATCGTGGCTCCTTGTCCCTTCATACGCCGATATTGTTCCAATGAAAATACCTGCACAGTCTAGTAAATACTAAAATTCCATAATTGTATTCTTAAACGAGTTAGTTATTTAAAATTAACATTAGGTTTATTTTGATTTATAACTTTCCTTACTTATTTTGTATATGAAGTCGACAAATGATGAGTTAATTTCACGTTACAGCATGTAATCCAAATTGTCTTTAATTCATGACTTCCCAATCTCATTTCTAAAATAAATAAATAATCATGCCATTCGTAGATCCGGTGTTTTGCTTGGTTTGAAATCTTATCTTCTCGATCAAAAGGCCTTCAACTCCCACGAGTGCCATCTGACATCACACACAACATACATAGATTATAGATATACTAGAAATCTGAAACAGTACAGACACCTTCCCCAACGTCGTTGTAGTGGTGCATATAGTAAAAGCGAAAGGCAGGAGCAAATAAGTGCCTTTGGTTTATATAACTCAAAGATTCTCTTGATAATACGGGGCAGTAATAAACCCTAGCCAGCTAGGGTTTTGCATTTTTACTGTGTACCGTGTACGGTGTACGTGAGAGAGAAAACATGAGAGGACGAGGGAGGACCAGTCCTCACTGGCAAAACAGTTAAATACAAGGACTTATACCCAAAACAAAGTGTTGCCTCGCCATTCTCCTCTCCTTTTTTAGAGCAAGTTTGGATCTTTCTGATTCTGATCCTCATTTCGCAAATCCTTCTCAGTAGCTGTTAGATTTCGACAAGGACCCACCAACCCATAGAAATACAGCTAAATTTATCATCTCATCCCATTCTATTATATATAATGGAAAATGCTTGGTTACTTCTCAGAAAGGAATCGTAGCTCGATTCAGCGAATCACTGTTTAATAATAATATTAAACGAAAAATTTATACACAGATGTTAGACTGTGACAGGATTCTTAGTGAAGTATTTTCCATCCATAACCATTATTCATAAAAAAAGAATTAATAATGCATGGAAATATGGATTATTCTGCATAAAAGACAATGGAAGCCCAACTATTTCTCTCTCCCGTCTCCTCTCTCTCCACTGCTTCCTGATCTTCTTATCTCTCCCCCCAAAGGTTTGGTAGTATTCAAAGAACCAAACTCTTTTAGAGAAAAAAAAAAATCAGAAATTGGGGGTTTTGATCCTTGTTTCAAATTTTCAACAAAATCATTTGAGTTATGGCCACGCATCAGCTGGAAAAAACCAGAGAAATGGCTCTAGACACCTTCAGCAGGCATGAAGAAGAAAGGCTAAAACCGTTGCCAAAAACTGCCCCTGCCTCACCACCTTCATCTTCCTCCTCCCCCTCCCATGAATTCTCCTTCACTCTCTCGCTCCACACTTCTTCTTCCACATCAAACCCTAATCACCAATCCAAATCCAAAACCACCACCCCACCTTCTTTCGCCATTGATTTGTCCCCCGCAGACGAAATATTCTTCCACGGCCACCTCCTTCCTCTCCAGTTTCTCTCTCACCTGCCCGTCTCTCCTCGCTCCTCCACCAACTCGCTCGACAGCTTCACCCTCCCCATCAAAGGGCCGCTAGAAGATCAAAAACCAACCAGAGAAACCGCTACCACCTATGCCGAAAACTGCATTCGAAACCGAAACATCCTAAACAACAAGAACAACAGCTGCAGCAGCATTGACAAGAGAATCCCACGTCAGGGAAGCAAACACGAGACCAGGGGAAGAACAAAGTCCAAGTCCTTTTCGATTTTCGGGCTTCCCAGACGGCGAAAAGATTGTGAAAATGGTGAAAAGGAGGAGAACAAGGAGATGAAGAACAAGAGGAAGGTGAAGTTTGATATTAGTCATATACTGAAGAGGTACGTGAGAATGTTGAGGCCGCTGTTGTTGTTTAGAGGGAGGAGAGAGAAGGGGCAGTTCCGGCCGCAACCCTATTCGTTTTCAGGGAATTTGAGCATGTTAAACAAGCATGAGTTGAGAGGTGGGAGGGGGGAGTTTTCGGCTCCGGCATCGATAAGGACGTCTCCAACGAATAGCGGGCATCTTGTTGCAACTGCAGCTACAAATGTTCCTTGTTCTACAAGTGACAGCACCATGGAAGAGTTGCAGGCTGCAATTCAAGCTGCAATTGCTCACTGCAAGAACTCCAATGCCACAGAAGAGAAGCCCAAATGTTGAAGAAAATTAGATAGCTAGAGCCTAGGAAGGTAAAAATCAGGGGAAATTTTATATTCGTATTTTATTTGTTATTTGCATATATATATATATACTAGCATATATGATGATGGTGTATGTATTAAATGAGTTAAACAATTTTGTTCAGTAGATTACTCCATCTGCATTCAAATGGGTTGAGGATCCAAACATGACCAATTTATGAAAGTAGATGCATTTTTGTTACACAAGTAGACTCGTTTTTCAGGGCACGCTGATTTTCAAGCTCTTATTTTTGTCTCTTGAATTTTTTTTTTTAATTCAACCTAAAGACTGAAAAAATGAATGTAGCAAGAGAAAAAGGGAGTTTAAAAATCATTTCCCTCTTTAGTATTTATCTCTAGGAAGGTTCTTGTGACCAACTAATTTTTTCATGTAACGTACATAGTTAACTGCGGTCTAAAGTTTCCATCAAGATCTCCATTTTCCAAAGGTCTAGAAAAACTATAAAACTATGAGAGTATAAAATCATCACACAAAGAATACACACATGAGAATGAAATTTTTTCATGTTTTTAGTTGTATAAAATTAGATATCTATATATCTCTATCATCACGTGATGAAAGAAACAAGTACAAAGTTTTATACAATTGGTGGCACTAAATTTACCCACACAAGCATGTCATGAAAAGAAACAATTGAACTTTAATGAGTTCCTAGTCCCTACAAAACGAGGTACTGAGAAAAAACTAGAACCTTTACCTATCAAAAGCGTAAGGGGCTGTAAAAAAGAGGTGGTGGTACCAACAGAACATAATGTGATTGTGGGTCAAATGGGGTTGACAGCCACAGGATTTAGAAAAAAGAAAGCAAATTCACAAGTACAATTATCATTCGAGTTAACAATAATGCACAAGGTATCACAAATCAAAACACATATGAGCAAATCAGATGGCTCTAATTGAATCAATCATACTTTGTGATTAAAGATATGGTGCAGAAGTGATTGAATGATTCATTACTTTTTGTGGTTTCATCTTTTATGTTTGTTATAGTGTCACATAGCATTCACAATCCCACCAAACCCAAAAAAAACCACCCAATTCCTTGAATGTGCATGTCTTTTGTTCCTTTTAATCATTTAAGGGTGCAAAAAGAGAAAGGGGGCTCCCAAAAAAAACCCTTTTTCTTCCAATTGGAAGTTACACTCCTAAAACACTAGGGATAGTGCCTTGTGTGTCGGTGCTCACTATGACTGAAGATCGTTGGTCTTAACTACTAGAGAAACTTCCATAAAACATGTTGCACATCTTCTCTCTGTATCTCTCTTTTTCACACGACATGTGATAAGAGAGATAAAGAAAATGAGTATATACAATGTATGATAGGAAGCTTTTATCCTCAGCTTTGCATATATATATATATATATATATGTGTGTGTGTGTGTGTGTGTGACAGTTTTCAAAAGCATTAGATCGTGACCAACATAATAAAAGTTTGTTGCTGCTTGGCTCAAGGACATCTTACAACTCATGATTAAGTTTGCATCTTTTCCTAAAGAACTTTTTATTAAGCCAATAAAATCTCAAAGCCTATAAGGGTTGGGACTGAAAAAGGAGATCTCATATGCATTTTACCCTACCTAATATAAGAATACAACTAAATTGGAAAACTAGCATTTTTACTAACACATTAAACACCTTTAGGCTTTAGTCTTAAAAATCTAGAAATATATCCACCCGAGGCCCCTCAAACAGTTCTGGATCCCCTCGGGTTGTGCTTGAACCTCCATTGGCCATGCTCGAGACCCTTGAGTGGTTAAACATCCGAACGTCTAAAAAATTAGGCTGAACGTATTAAACATATCCAAAGTTTAGCTCTGTTTACAAATTTCTCATTGCTCCCCTATAATTCAAAGAAGACCACCCAACAAAAAAGGGAGGAGAATCGGTTTTTCATTAGAGATGGACATGAGGCCTGTTTGTTGGCAAGCTCATTATTCGAGTCACGCCCATAGGCATGGTGAAAGCTCAACAGGACTCAGCCCAATGTGAATGCCTTTGATCTACCAACCCAAAGCCCAAGTCGCCTACATGAACCAAATATGAGCAAGCAAAGGTTTTCAATTCATTTTGCTCGTCATTGATAATGTTGGGTAGTGTTATTTACACGGTTATTTTTATTTTTTACTTTTTTGTGTTAATTTTTGTCTGTTAATCTTCTTCAATTTATTCAATCAAATTACCGAAAATTGAGAATGGTATGTAAAAAGGTTAAAATTTGTGTGTAAATTAAGTAAAAAGTGTCAGGCTCGATTAAATTGGATTTTGAATAAGATGGCCTTAGTAAGTGATTAACTGAAATGCCCCAATCTCTTAAAATAGAGTACCGTTTGTATCCAAGAATTTATTTGTTGATATTGGCTCAGGAATGTTTTACAACTTCAAAGACTCTTGGTACATTTTTGTTTATATGCACAATTTTAAATCATGATTGAAAGCAAGAGACATATAACTTCATCTATTTATCTCATTACTGAGAATTACAGATTTTATGCGACTTTAAAACCCGCAACATCGCGTGTCATCTTCATTCCTTTTTATAATTGAAAACTGGAAAGAAATATCATATAAATGTATGCGAATATTTCATATGATATGCCCCACTTGCTTGCATGGGTCCGAATCCTCGCTATATCATCTTTATGATGATTCGGGAATCTGTGAATTGTGTCCATTTATTGTACATCGTGCGTTCATAAATCATTTTAAATATTTTTATTTAAAACTAAATATAAACAATACTTAACAAAAACTGACAACACGATATACGATAAACATACATAATTTACAGATCCCTAGGATCCTTACCAATTTCAGAGAGGATCTTGTTGGCAACTCCATGGTCAACACCCAACTACCAGCCGTTAATGAATTCCATCTTATAATATAGTTTTAAACAACTGACTAGGACACTTATAATAGTACTTAGCTTTACAAAATTTGTCAATTTCTTATTTCAAAATAATTTTATAGTCGATTTACAGGACTTCATATTAATAATTCAATTTATTCATATTATATACATGTGAGATCAATTAGTCATCTGACATAAAAACATTTTGTCGAAATTGATAAATTAGCTCAAATCGTAGATGACAGGTTACTATAATGACAAAAAATAATAATGTTTATGCATTATAATATTGGTTTGATCCTCATCAATATCTTCCCTCACTAACAACTAATAATTTAACCCAACACTGACTATCTTGTCAAACACGGTTTAACTGCTCATCTCGACTGTTGATGACGCAAACTCGAAGCTGCTTTGACTCCATGTATATATCCTTATTTGATGAGTAGAGCAAATGGGCATCAAAGTATAGGCAAATTTGTACCATTTGATTTAATATGCGGTCAATTGCTGAATCAAGTTGATGACCAACTTGAATTGTGTCACAGCAGTCATTGCAGTTGTACCCCTATGTGCATCATGTATGCAAAAAATGAACTTCTAATTCCTGATGCAAGTACGTGATATGGAACATATAACGAAGTAGACAAACAACAATTTAAAAAGCACAAAATCAACAACAAAACTATTTCAAATCTGGGTTATGAGCTTCCGTTCTAGAATCAAATCCACTGCAAAAGATGTGATCTATGGATCTTCTAAGCCAAAACCTATTGTTTATAATGTCCAAATCGATTTTAAGCTTTGAAGATATTTTTCAAAGTTTGCTATTTTTTAGATTTTGTTTCCGATTATGATTCCAACATTACTAATATTTCAAATTATCGTTTTATTTTCTTCTTTGTCGCACTGCATCACAATCAACAAAAAAACGCAAAACAAATCGTAATGAAAATTATCATGTCATCGTGACAAATCAAAAGTAAAAATGATCAAATCACGAATGGTACTTTTATTGGTTGAAGCTTAAAAATTCGAGATTTCAAAGTTTTTGAGTTTTTTTTTTTTTTTTTCAAAAAAGTTTTTGAGTTAAATAGATTGGCATTCATATTTTGATCAGGGAATATATTGGTAGATTTCACTGTCGATATGGTTGTCAACTTTATTTTATTTTGGTACAACAAAGAAAAAGTCGGACATATTTCCACATGGCGGCAAAAGGTTACTTGGACCCCACTTCATCAAATGTCTACCTAACACAAATCAATGCCACCCCTTCCTAGATAACAGATTTTTTCCAGTAAAATCGGACCGCTAAGAACAAAATCATGCCGTTTTGCATTTTTTTAATAAGTTATTATTATTATTTATTGTTAGTTACATATAGCTGAAGTTTCGTGATACTTATATATAATTTTTTTTTTTTTCAAGGTTTATGCCCCGTTGTGAAAGAAAATGTAAGAGATAGTAGTATTCAAGCAAAAAATATGTAAGAGCACAATCGAAGAATATAATTTATGTTTCACTTAATTATAACAAGTGATGAACCACCACGAGATTTCTTAATATTTTTTTATGAATTCTAAGTTCGTATTCTATATGTCACATCTTAACTGATTTTTTTTTGAAAAAAAAAATTATAACAAGTGGTGTTCGTAGACATATAAAATCCCTCCACTTCAATGATCTCTCATATGCTTACGTGCAACAACTCGAGATTGCCAAGAAAACAACACTCTCTCTTTCCGTAGAGATAGCACCCTTTCTTTCTCATCCTCGGTCAGTTTCATTTCTCCAACCCTTTTATTTATAGGAAAACTAATAAAAAATATTTAAAAATTTTGAGTTTTAACGATAAAGACAAAATAAAGGGTAAAGTGAATAATATCAGGATTAAATTTTTAGTGTAAAAATATGATTTTTCGTTAGAGTGAACAATACCGCCAGCTTTTGTTAAAACTCTCTTTAGTTATTTAGTTTAGATTAATTCCTCTTTTTTTTTTCTTATTTATTTAATCCATCATAGCTACTCCTACTAGTCAGAGAACAAGGGGAAGAAGAAAAAAAATGAAAAATGCGGTGCCTTTAAATATTTGTTGGAATTTGAACGATGATTGAAGGCTCGGCACATTGGAACAACTGAGACGGAATATGCTTTCATCACCATAACTGCTATTCCCTCTTCCTTTGGCGGTTCCACAGAGCTTGGTCTTCCATTGAATTTGATGCTCTTTCTTGTTTGTTTCTTGATTTCGAGCTGTTTGTGGGGGATTCTGATTAAAAAAAAAGGGACCCCAGAGAGGGATTTTGTTCTTTTTCTGATGCATGCAATAACTGATTTGGAGCTAAAACTGTGGTAGATTATTAAATTTTGGGTTTTGATCAATTGGGTTGTTATATTGTAATGCAATCTTGGTAAATTGGTCATCTGGGTTGTCTCAGAATTCAATATTTGGATTAAAAGTTGGTTGCTTTGAAGGTTTTTCCTGAGGAAATCGACCGGGTGTGTGTAAATTATGATTGAGTTTTGAGATTTTGGTGTCCTGAGAAATTTGATAGGGGGAGGAATAGGATGTATGCGGTTGGGAGGCTAGGGAGTTATATATCCCGAGGCGTTGTACACGCCTCCGGCCCGTTCCACCCGTTTGGTGGAGCTGTGGATATAATTGTAGTTGAACAACAAGATGGGAGCTTCAAATCGTCGGCGTGGAATGTGAAATTTGGTAAGTTTCAAGGGGTTTTGAAGACAAAGGAGAAGGTGGTAAACATTAATGTCAATGGGGAGGATGCTAGTTTCCATATGTATTTGGATCATAAAGGAGAAGCTTATTTTCTTAGGGAGGTTGATGCAGAGGAAGGGGAAGCTGTGTTGTATCCTTCGTCTTCGAGTGATGAGACGGATGAGCAATGTCGAGAAAACGGGCAGCCATTGAAGTCCATGAGTTGCAATTATGATGCTGAGAATTTGACACCAGTTGGTCAGATTGAAACGCCTAATGGGAAGATTTTGTCCAGGACTAATTCCCGGAGGTCAAGAATTTTAGGGTTATTTGGGAGCAGGTCGATGAAGGAGCGCAAGAGTAAGGAGGAAGAGGGGGTTGATAGCGGGGTGAGTAGGGTGGATTCGTTGGAGGGGGTGGAGTTTGCAGCAAACCTTTTGGAAGTGAATTGGTCCACTAGTCTTGCCATTAAGAAACCCGGGAAGGACAATGCTTCCCCTTTTTTGTCTCCTAATATGTTGGTTAATGAAGATATGCAGATTGATGCCGAGCAAAGCCAGTTGAGCTTGTCTCTGCCTGTGTCTAGAGTATCTAGCGACGTTGATGAATCTATTATTGCGGCAACTGAACATGATGGGAATGCAATGGCTGTCATATCCAATGCCACAGGTTCTGATCCGGAAATTCAAAGTTTGGTTGAGCTAGAAGCTTGCCCTGGCAAGCATTTGGATGAGAAAGATGTTGTATTACCTGGCTGTGGCATTTCTCATACAGCCGGTGGGATAGATCGAGTCCAACCCTTTATTTATTGTGAAACATTGTACATTGCCAGAGAAGGAAGTGAGCAAGTTCATGCTGAAACAGTGCATGCCAGAACTGAGCTGCTGTCTAAGGTAATCTTTCTATCAAATCTGTTGCAATAGAAACCAAAAATTTTAAGCTATTTAGGAATTTTCAGATGCAGTGTTTTCTATGACTTATTTACCAACTCAAATAAGCTCGACAGTTAGGAAACAGAATTTGGTTATAAATGATGAATTAGCTAACATTATTCTTAATTATGTATACAACTGGATGCTTCAGACTGAGGTATTTAGTGTTCTTCATCAGGATTCAGTTACTGAGCAACATGCTGATGATACTTCCGTAGAGGTACAATCAGTGGAGGCTCCTGAAATTTGTTTACAAGAGACAGATACACATTCATGCACAGACCGTAATGCGAGCCGTGAAGGGCCAGCAATAGTTCAACCATGCAATAGTCAAACAGTCCAGCAAAATTCATTACCTGATTCGGTTCAAAAAGTTGAGTCACAGAGCATGTCTAGTTTAAACACCTATCGTGATCAAGTTCAAGAGGAGGAAAACATAGAAGAGGAAGATGTCGCATCAAGTGATTTACAAACCCCTTGTAAGTCCGTTAATGGCCATGTTGTGACAGAAGCAGCAAGTGTGTTGCCAGTGAGACTAGAGGAAGAACAATTCCTCTTCAGTGATGATGAAATCAGAGTCACTGAGGTTCAGTGCATGGAGTCACATTTTCCATCATGTGTAGGCGGAGAAAATTGTCTCTCGTGCAGTCCAAAAGACAGTACAAATTATGAATCATATCCATCTCTGGAAAAGTTTATTCCAGAAGATCCCTCAACTGATTTTCAGAAATCAACTGGAAAACTGAAGGCAGCATCAGCTGCAGTTGGTATTCCGAGAAATCATACGGCTGCTGCTGGCAAGGAAGTTGGGAGGCTGGTCGAATCCTTACCTATCATGTGGCCTCAGACTGACAAGTTGACTGCATTTGATGTTCATTATCCATTAAGCCATTCTCTGGACTCAAATGTCCATCCCTTGAAGTCGATATGGCAATGTAAAGATGATTTGAGCTTTAGAAAGTTTGACAGAGAAGAAGAGCAACAATTAGCACTGGAAACACCAGATAGCGAGAATGCTCCAGGTTCAGCGGAGCTCAAAGATGGTCCTACCAGTCCTGCAGTTGGTGAGAAACTTGGATATTTTCTTGTATGATATTTTACATTCGAGGATTTCCCGCACTGAATGTTAAAAAATTCTATTTGCTTTCTTGTCAGTAGTGTGTACATAATTACATTACACTATTAAGAGTTGATATATTCCAAGTCAGTGAAATATGACTAATATGACCATTCTTTTTTCACTTTATTTTTTGTTCGACTTATTGCCAGAATTTTCTTACCATTCTTTTTTCACTTTATGTTTTGTTCGACTTATTTGCCAGAATTTTCTCTGTGACGAAAATTGGAAGGGCCTCATTTTTTTTTTTCGGGAACAAAATAATCCATAAGTGGTAAAATGTAGAAAGGGACATAAATTTTGCTTTATGCAAAGCTCTCTCGTTGCAAACACTTCTTATATGTACTGCTTGTCAAACATTTTCCGAAAAATTTGATCTTGATATATGTACTAAATGATAGACTTATTATCTGAATTCTTAGTTGTTTCCATGGGATATAGCTGCTTTAGGATGATTTTACTTGGGATATAGCTGTCCACTGAGTTGAGAAAACTATTACAGGAGATCTATCCAAAGCAAATGTTGCCGCCAGTGGAAGTTGGAAACTCTGGCCTTTCGGTTTTAGGGGATCAAATTCCAGGACAGCAATGCAGCCAGATGTGAATGGCAGTAAAAGTCCTGAAGCTGAGAATGCTTCAGAGAGCACCGTTGGCACAGATGGAGATAAGAATATGCTTACACCCAAGGGGATGAAGAGAATGGAAAGGGCACTCGCTCCAATGTCTGAGCAGCTGGCTTCCTTGAAACTGAAGGAAGGGAAGAATACAGTAACCTTCACATTCTTTACTGCAATGCTGGGGAAGCAGCAGGTTGTTTATTGTTGTGATTTTTATTTTGGTTCTCATTCTGGCTGTTTGTTTTTCAGATATAGTTACTGTCCTTTTCTTATAGTTCTTGTTACTCAACAGGTTGATGCCAGAATATATCTGTGGAAATGGAACACACGCATAGTGATCTCAGATGTGGATGGGACAATCACAAAGTAAGTCTGTTCTTTAAAAAAAAAAAAACTTTGGTACATTGTATTTTGACAAATTTTTTCTGGATAAATAATGAACTACAGTGATTTTTTAGATAAATTTATCAAATATGAGTAACAGTAAGTTTTCTATAACGGTTCAGTTGTTCTTTATGCGTTCACTTGTTGATTACTGGGGATTCTCTTGGCCTGATCCCGCTTGATTTACAACTTTGTTTTACAGGTCAGATGTTCTAGGTCAATTCATGCCCTTGGTTGGGGTAGATTGGTCACATGTAGGTGTTACACATTTGTTTTCAGCCATTAAGGTTTGTTTGTCTTGTCCTTTAATATTCTAGTGCTCATGATGATTATTGTTTTGAAATCATGTTTATTTAGTGATGGCAATTTTCACATTGCATTCATCACTCCTTACCATGTATTTTGAGCACTCTGGTGGGTTGGCCTGTAGCCAACATATGTAGACGAAAACACATTGGGTCTCCCAAACCTGATATGTTGGCCCGTCTGTGACCAACTTATTCAGTTATATGGTGTCATCACCTTACATATAGTATTGATTACCTTTATAATGTGCCGTCTCTCATCTCATGTTGGCCCGTCTGTGACCCACTTATTCATATGTTTTATGTATGAATTACTTGTATAACTACACTGAAATTGCATCTTAAAAGGAATCGGTTATTATTTCTATGGTGCAGGAAAATGGATATCAATTGCTTTTTTTGAGTGCACGTGCCATTTCTCAAGCCTCTCTCACCAGACAATTTTTATTCAACCTTAAGCAGGTGTCATATGCTTAACTCGTGATAAATCCGTGATTTGCATTTTCAAATGAAAGTGACCAAAATACCATGTTTATTTATTTCTTTGCTTTGAAATATGCAGGATGGGAAGGCTTTACCAGATGGTCCCGTTGTTATTTCCCCAGATGGACTTTTTCCTTCTCTCTTTCGCGAAGGTAAGTGATGTGGGTGCACTTCTTTTTCTAGAACTTCAACAGAGGTTTAATTTAAATTTGCTAAAGTGTCCCATTTAGTTTTTCAGGCATTTTATAAGTTCGGTTCATTGCCCTTTTTTTGCACTTATCCTGATAAAACTGAAATGGTAAACTGCGTTTCATAGAGAGGAAGACCATCATTTCCTTGTTGAATAATGCATTTGTTGAGAAAAAGATTTTAGTGGCTAACAGAGCGGAATGTAAAATTACCTTTACTTTGATCACTAGACATCACATGCACTTTTCTTTTCATTAAGTCGTATGTAGTTTCTAATGCATAGACTGACACTGTTTTCCTCAGTTATCAGGAGAGCTCCTCATGAATTCAAGATCGCATGCTTAGAGGTTAGTATATAGGGTTTATCTTGACCTGTTCACTCGTTTTACTGCGTGTTTTATCATGTTCCTGATGTTAAATAATTTGTTTCATAGGAAATGTCCGAACAATAATATGGGTTCAAATATTCTTTTAAATATCTTACATTTTCCTATTTTTCAGGATATCAAATCATTGTTCCCTTCTGATTGCAATCCATTCTATGCTGGTTTTGGAAACAGAGATACCGATGAGTTTAGCTACCTTAAGGTTGGAATCCCGAAAGGAAAAATATTCATTATTAATCCCCAGGTAATTATGACCTTCATGATAATTTAGCAGCAATCCATAAATCTGTAATTGAGAAATGTCAAATGCCTACTTTTCCTTTTGATGATTTGGGTATGTAGGGTGAGGTTGCTGTGAACCGCCGAGTTGACACAAAGTCATATAGCTCCCTTCATGCTCTTGTGAATGGCATGTTTCCATCCACGAACTCATCTGAGCAGGTTTTGATTTTTCAACTTTAAATATTCATAGAGGCCTTATTTTGAAAAAAAAAAAAGGGCCTTTTTCTTTCCCCACCGTCCTCTCTTTCCTTTGTGGTCACTAACCATTTGAGCATGCTTTTTGTTTTTTTCCCTGTTCATTACAGGAGGACTTTAATACGTGGAATTTCTGGAAACTCCCCCTGCCCGATATCATTGTCTGAGGTGTTGAAGAGAGTTCATTGCTTTATGTAGCTAGCCTCCTCTAGATATGGAGACAGATAAATTCGCCATGCCTTTGTTTAGAATCGCTGAGGTAAATCCCAATTTCTCATTCGCTTAATCTGTCAGAAGCTGTGCATGGAATTTTTGGTTGTAGAAGGACAATGCTAGCTTTATCAAGACATTTTAGGACAGTATGTAGCTAGGAATTATTGTCTAAATGTCTACATTTACCCGGCGGGCTGATTTATTGGCGACCTGAAACAATATATCGAAGATAGGCACACGTAGAAGAGTTGGATCAGTCCCACCTCCATGCTGCTGCTTCATTTTTTTTTTCCCTCCTTTTCTGTTCAATCTAATTTTGTAGTCTGTTCGTGTATGTCCCGTGACCGCTTCAAGTTGTAACTATTCTTTAGAAGTCAAATGGGTAAATAGGCATTCACATGTATCTTAATCTGTAAAGTTATTGTTTCCAAATGTATATTGAATTTTCATGTGGATTCAAGTATGTAGTTTTGGTCCTTCTGTGGAACCCCTGTTGTTTTTTCCGTACTCACATTTTGCGAGATGTTAAAACGAGTACTTTAAAGATTTTCTGGGCCGGACTTGCGTGTCTTCATGAAAACATCTAACCTTATTTCAGCCTCGGCCTAGAAAATCTTTAGCGTATCCTTTTTTGTGGTCTTCGGTAAAGTATTAAATATTGATGATATCGGAAATATCGGTAGTTCAAAAACACGAAAATTTCGATGGAAATATCGAGATATTATCGATATCGATAAAAATTGAATAAAAACCACGGAAATTATAAGAAAAAATTGGAAATTTTTATTGAAACTTTGCAGGATGTTTATTTAGTCAATTATCTATTAGTTTATCATAAAAAATTGGAAGGAAATGCATTGCATGATAGATTTAACTGATTTAAGTTGATTATATAGCGAGCTGGCAAGCATTGTGAGTGTAGAACATATGTAGTAATTAATGAAAGAAGTTTAAACACACCATAATCATTTATATATAATGAATTAGTACAATATTTTACACTTTATACATTGCATGGTAAGATACATGAGTGACTTAGCAAGGTCTAAAATATCGATGATATCGGAAATATCGGTAGTCCAAAAAAATATCGGTAGTCCAAAAACACGGAAATTTCGATAGAAATATCGAGATATTATGGATATTTTAGATCATGGTCTTCGGTGATGTTTTGGCGTTTCTTCCGCGGCATAGAGGTGTATAGGTTTTTGCATTTACCTCCCTTAGTAATTAGTATTAGGAACTTGTGTAAAATTGGGTGTATTCCTGTGTGCGCTCACGTAATGTAGGAATAGTTATCAAATAATACATGATTTGCGGACTTTTATTTGGTACAAATGTATTAAGAAAATTTTACGTCAACTCATTAGTTTGGTCTTTTAAGTTTCAAAGTTATCAAGTTTGGTCTTTTAAGTTTCGGAGTTATCAATTTTGTTTCTTGTCTATTACTAGGTCATCAATGTAGTCATTGCCGTTAAGTTAAAAATATGTTTCAAAGTGACACCTAGATGAGCCCAATTCAGTTTAATTAATTTAATCTTTTTAGGCTTATGTTTAGCAATGATTCTTATTCTCTTTAACAAATCTCAATTTACCCTTACACTCTATTGTGTCTTACTTTACCATGTGTATTCTTGTTTTGTGTTTTAATTTGACATGTTCCGTTAATTCCGTCAATAAAATCGTTAAGTAGCTGATGTAGCAAGAACATTTAATAAATTTCTCAACTAAAAAGAAAAGTAGAAGAAAATAATCAACCCACACGTGTCACCTCCCTCCGGTCCCTTTTTCTTTCTCTTTCTCTTCCATTTCTTCAGGCATCTTTTGTATCTTAGTCTCATAAAGTAGAAGGAAAAAATATCTATGCGAAGATATACGAAAATGGAAGGGACAAAACGGGCATTCACGCTTGCCGAATCACCTGTACACAAACCAATAGCTACAACAAATGCCACCATCAACACAATACCCCCAACTAGAAAGATGAAGGAAATTGTAATTCTTAAAAACAAGATGAATAGATGGCTGAGGAAGCAGAATGGGATAGAGGAAGAAAGGGATTGGAGATTGGAGGGAGGAGAAACGGCTGGGTTTTTTTTTTTTTCTTTTAATTTTCTTTTCAATTTCGTAAACGGTATTTGATTAACCTTCACGGGGTAGCTCAATGGTTGAGGACAAATATCAAACCCCGTATTTCATACGGCATGTCTTGAGTTCAATTTCTAACGTTAGTAAATTGTATGATAATGACTAGGAGGAGACTGAAATACCACCAGCTGATTCCCTTTGCTAGAAAAAGGACAAGCTGTATTTCACTTTAATTGATAAATTTATCGTGTCTGCCACGTCAGCTACTAAACAGTTTTGTCGACGGAATCAATGGATAGGGCAAATTGGAACACGAAATAAGAGCACAGGTGGTAATTTAGATCTTCGTACAGTCAAAATTCACAATAGCGATAATTTAGATGTTCGTTTTTCTCCTGCTACTTAGATTTCAGAAGAATATTTTACCTCTACCTTGCCTTCCCCGTTGCTGCCATGGATGAATGCTATATATATATATATATATATATATATAGCTACAGCTACTCATATGTAATTAAAGACTACGTACTATACATACACACAGATGCATACATACGAGGAGACATATATTACATTATCAGAGACTCCTTAATACTATAAGTACACACACACACACACACACATATATATATATATATAGAGCTACAGCTACTCATATGTAATTATATACATACACACAGATGCATACATACGAGGAGACATATATTACATTATCAGAGACTCCTTAATACTATAAGTACACAGATAGAACTAGAACAAACCCTGTACTTCAGCTTAATTTACAGTTTATACCCACATTTTAGGGCATAACTGGTAAGTTCACCGATCTCGTCGTCAATAGAAATGAAGCCGTCCTTGTTGGCATCTGCATGCCATATTGCTCTCCAAGCTCTGAAGGAGCTCCAACGCGACCCAAATTTCTTGAAGGCTGCCTTCAGCTCTTCCTTTGAAAGCCTGCCGTCTCCATCCTTGTCAAAACTTTTAAACACTTCCATCATCTGCTCCTTCGTCCACGGAATTATTTGGACCTTCTTATCGACAACTGTAGGTTCCTTGGTATTCCAGCACGGAACCCGGATCTCTCTAACCATATTAATCTTCAAATTCTAAGCCTCTGTGACTGATTTGCTCACTTTCTACAGGAAGTACAAGAAAGGATACACACACATATATATAAGTAGAGGGTTAGTGGCTTTTATGTATAGCACTATGTGCTTGTGGGGTTGTTACCCTAAACCCTAGCCTTATGTTCGAGAATTAAATAATATTTAATTCCTATCGATTAAACTGAAATATTATGCTTCATCCAAATCTTCCCAAACAATAGCATCTAAATATATAATTGGTATATGTGATATATTTTTGGTTTGTTTTTGTGCGTGTACGTAAAGCATGGAACTTTGTAAAGTGATGGATAATTTATATATATAGGTTATTCTTGTTGATTAGGTCAGCTAGCTTTGATTTTTCCAGCAGTTTCATTTTGATCTCTACAAGTGAGTGATGAAGTGCCGAAAGCTACAATGGATCACAGCAAAGTCATTCATATCTGTCAACAGTTCACAGAGATCGAAAATAACAAATCAACTTTTTTAGGTTTGGGAAGCATCTGTTTTCATTTTCTTTCTTTGGACACGCAGAGACAAGTATTTAAATTAGTTAGGCATATAGATAGTTGCAGAACGCATGATATGAACGAACTAAATCAAATTATTAGTATTTCATTGTTGCATTCATCAAACAGTCGACCTAATATCTGCGGTTGGAGAGATAGAGTTGATGAGATTATGAGTGCATAGGATTATGACAAATGTCTATGTGTTATTGGTAGTGGTCTTAGTTAGTTAGTAAAGAGGTGTCTCACTAATGTATAAATATCAATAGTTGTAATTATTCTAAACAATTTGAATGAAAGAGAATATTCAGTTTTAACAAACTTTCCCTCTCTTCTTTCTCTCTCTAGTTTACTTAGTTCTTAAGCTTTTACATTGTTGACATGGTATCATCGCCGAGAGTGGCTCACGCCTCCCATTCACGATCCTTCGTGCTTCCGTTACTCGTCTCCAGTTGTGATCAGTGTTAGGTGACATCTCCGATCATCAATTTTTTGTCTTCTTTGATTGTGTATCGGTGTTTGGTGTTGGCAATGTATTGTCTGTGATTTGTTGATCGATGTTTCAGTTGGTTGAATTGCTGGTTTCTTGATCGTCGTCGTACATTAGGTTATGTTGATTCTTTCGTTTCTTTCAGCCCATCGTGTTTGATCTGTGAATTGTTTACAGCTTTCTGATAATCTGTAACCCTAAGATTTGGGGGTTTCTTGTTTCGTATTCACATGATTGTTGATTTCTGCAATTATTGGCTTGTTGTTGTTGCTGGTGGGTTCAATTAAGTTTATGTGCTATTCTTGAGTATTAAAATTGTCTCAATATTGTTGAAGTATGACACACAAATTGCTGAAAGCTATGGTGAATTCTGTTCAATTAGCGCTTACACAATCTCCTATTTCGTCTTTAATTCCGAGTGTTGGGAATACTGTAACGGTGAAACTCGATGATTCCAACTATGTTATATGGAACTTTCAAATGGATCTATTGTTGGAAGGAAATGGAATTGTTGGTTGTGTGAATGGTTATATTCCATTTCCTGCTAAATTTGAGGATTCTGATTCTGAAGAAGAAACTATTGATAACAATCACCATGTCTCTGATGCGTACAAAGTATGGAAGATTCATGACAAAGCTTTGATGACTTTGATTTTTGCTACATTGTCTCCTTCTGCTTTGTCCTGTATTATTGATTGTCAGAGTTCCAAAGAGATGTGGATGAATCTTGGAGAACGGTTTTGTAGTGTTACAAGAACAAGTATTGTTCAACTCAAGATTGACTTGCAGAACATTAAGAAAAGACCTGAATTTTTTTATGCATATCTTCAGAGGATCAAGGAGTCCAGAGATCAGCTAGCTGCTGCTGGTGTAACCATTTTCGATGAGGACATGTAATTATTGCACTGAGAGGTCTACCAAGTGAGTATCATACAATTAAAGCAGTTATACGTGGAAGGGAAAACCTTGTTTCACTCAGAATTGCGATCTCAATTGAAGGCAGAAGAAAACTCTGGATGAAGCTACTAAACAGATTCCTTTGATGTCTGCCATGTTCACTAAAGCATCTAGATCTAGTTTTGATCATGATGGTTGATCAGGAATAAAGTCTGCACCAACAATGAATCAAGGTTTTGCCGGTACTCTTAATGCTTCATTTCCATTTATGCCAATGTCACCCATGCCACTCTAAGGTTTTCAGCAGGTGCCTCAAGGTTTTAAGCAATTGCCTATGCCATATATGACTAACGTTCCCATGGCTTTTGTCACTCAACATGGTTTTGGTTCATACAAC